GGTTTGCTCCCTGCGTAGAGAAGAAAAAAAAATAAAATAAATAACAGTGTAATCCCTTACATATTATTTTACGTACGTTCCTCGTTTCGAATTCATGTTCAGTACACGTCGATTCGCCCGCCGTTCTGCATCGGCCTGCGGTTTCGCACATCGGATCGTATCTACGCACGGCCGTACTGTCGTGCAACACTCCGGCGTGTTTCGCCGTTGTTTAATTTCTCTCTCTCTCTCTCTCTCTCTCACTCCCCGCGATCGCGCATTTATTTATTCGTTTCGCGCGCGTTTATAATATCCATTTGTACTTTTGTACATTTGTATTTTTTTTCACTTTACTCGCGGTATTTCGCGTTCGAATCGCGCTCGTATTACTGGCATTGCGCGTAACACGACGCGCGGTACGCAGTAAACGGTTTTTCGGGGGGGACCGGACGGGACCGGACGGGCCGAGCGAGGGGGCCGTAATATTACACAGGCGTGCCGCGGTCGCTCCTTTCATTCGGCCGCCGCGGGTGTCGGTGACGACGGTCGACGGTTTACGCGGTGGCGCGGGGGGGGGNGGGGGGGGGGGGGGGGGGGGGGTGAGGGAGGACCACAGCCGGTCTGTTTCTCGACGACGACTACTATCAATAACGCCGCGATATTATTTTCTCGTAACCAGTTTTCTATTATTATTATTATTATTATTGTTGTTGTCGTTTATTATTTAATTTTCTTTTCTCCGCGCGTTCGCGACTAGATCGTGCGAACGTGGGCCGCGTTACCCCATCGTCCGTCGCGACCGTCGATAATAAAATCAATGTCGCGTTCGGGAACGTTCGTGTCGAACCCATCACCGCGCGCGCGGTACCCCGTTCACTACTCGTCGGTTCGCGGGCCCGGGGCGGGCTTTTGAGGGCGTTTTAAATAATAATAACAACAATGAAAAAATCCCCCGAACGATAACGTTTCAACCGATATATTTCCAAACGGACAAATTATAAAACATTCTATTGATAACACCGTACAAGTGTTTCGTTCGTACGATAACGAAACATTACGTTGTGGTATATGGTTTATGAAAATGTTTTCTAAATATTTGTGTGACGTTTCCAAGAAAATATACGAATCGAAAGTTTTCGAAATGCGAGCGTAAAATGTTTGATGAATGTTTTGTTCTAGAATATTATTCTCCAAACGTGAACTTTCTGGGCACAAAGTATTTCGATAACATTTACGCCATTATTTAACGATAATCGAAAATATTTTGATAACTGAACAGTTTTCCTTCCAAAATGTATTTTGTTCATATTATTGAAGAATGTTTTCGCTGTGTGGACGATAGCCGATGGCGAGGAATGTAAAAATGTAAATTGCCCTTCGAACCGATCCTCCTTGTACGGTGTAGTTCCGAGGAAATTATAGTCAATAACATAGCCAAGCGCAGTCTTATTAAGTATATTCGAATACATTTTCGGGAAATATTTAGGAAATATTTAACTATATGGGTACGTGCAAAGCGAATCGAGGAAAAAGAGCTCCGGGAAAATAACATCCCGACCCAAAACCATTATAGAAAAAAAAAACCGTAGTAAATTAATTAAATTAATTAATACGTACATTTTAATAATAAAAAAACACGGGGTATTCAAAAATAATTTTATAAAGGGACATTACCGTGTGTATTATTACATAATAATAATAATAATAATAATAATGATAATAATCAGTGTTCACAAAAAACGAACTAATTAATTTAAAACAAATATAATGTAGGTAATTCAAAAACGAAAAATACTTTTTCAGTTATTGCTAATTTGCACGCAAAGATTTTGTGAGCAGTTGTCGATGTTTGTTACCATGCCACGTTCCGAGATATTATTCAACGCCAATTTTAAAAACAGAACCATTTATGATGTACGTATAATGTAGTAGGTACCTATACAGTTGTACTGGAAATCCGCGTAATAATCATCTTATTACGGGTTTGTTGCCCGAAAAACCCTTATCATGTATACCTCTGTTGGGGATCCATTAATCTGCGTAACGTATTTGATACGTACGCACAACAACCTGACGAGAGTCTATTGTAGAATTTTTAATCGCAGTAAGTCATCGTAAGCTACTGTCATGGCATGTACGAAAACCGCGCTTTTAAAAAAATCATTTTTGAATTGCACGTCTTTAGTTTTTTATTAATTCAAAACAACGAGTATTAATTCTTATAAAAAGTACCGATTATTAAGTACGACGGGGTGTTTTTTTTTTTCCCAGTGCGGTTTTTGGTTCGGGGACAAACATTTCCTGGTGCCGTAAAACCTTGTCGCGGGGATCGTTTCGGGGGGTGCCGAAGACCCCCTACAGCACCCCGTCCGTATTATACGAGCGCGCGCGTACAACAGTCGAACGTAACAAGCGGGGCGGCGACACGGACGACGCACAGGACCTCGCGGCGATATTTTTGTCGGGTTTTGTATTATTTCCCCCCCTCCCCCCCGTTAACCCTTTGCAGCTGTTCGTCTCCACCGTCTGCAGCCGCGTGTTTTCGGTGCTCGGCTGCAGAACGAGTGGGCTGCAACTGCATAGTAATACATCGTCATGTCCTGCTACGCCACCAGCAACGGACGTTGTTTCCGTGAAGAATTCGGTTTTCGACTGGCCGACGGGGAACCGGTCCCGGAACAGCTGAACAGGTAACTGTGCAAGCACATGCGGGGTACCATGATGGTTGTAGCGGGGGGCTTTTTTTTTCTCCGGGTATCCTACGTATTACACACGGTGGGGTGGGCACAGTCGCGCGATAATTACGCAACAGAGTCCTCTCTTGCCCCTTTCGAACATTCCCCCCCGTAAAAGTACGTTTATGCCGTACGAAATGTCTGTACCGAGAGAGTTGAATGTCTTGGGGTCTCTGACGCCTCCTGCCGGCCGTTTACGTAGTTTTTTTTTAGACGGCGGAGCGTCATATTCCTCGCGAACACGAACGCGAACCATCCGTCCGAGTAGGCGAAAAACGCGTTAACACCGACGAAATAGGTATCGTAATTATTCGAACCGTGGAGTCGGAAATTTTTCTAGGCGGGCCGACGGGTGGGACGGTGGTGTACAGGGCGGGTCACGGCCCACACGGATCCGCCCTTAGTGACGTCAGCACCGGCGGACCAGCGAGCCGGCCCTTTGCAGGGCCGCTCTCGTAGTATACGCTCGGGCGAGAAATAAAAAATACCGATCACCGGACGTAATTTAACGTACTGGTTTCACGCACAGATGTTGATTTTTTTCCCCGCGGATTACTTTTCTACCGGCAATTTCGCTCCGATTTTCACGTACAGCGCTTTTCCCGAAAGGAAGTCCGACCGGGGAGGTCGTTTTTTGATTTTCCCAGCCGTTTTCACAACGATCGGGGAAAACACCGTATTGTTTTCAAACCGTAAATATCGCGGTCTTTCAGAACGTCACGCAAAACCGAAAACTCCGCTCAGAATCGTTTTTCGTCGGCAAAGATTGACCGTCGCATATTCCCCTCATTACGCCGTATACACCTTTCCGGCTACTCGCCTGCATGACAGTGCAGGTCCGCCCGAAGTATACGTCCGTATCTTTTCGCGTTTAACAGTCCGTCAGTGAACGTCAGTACGACACTCGCACGTCGCGCGATAACGAAAATATCGCCGCGCGTCTGCAAAATAAATAAAAAAAAACGTAATAATACGTGCGCGGTGCTTCTGTGCGTTCGCGGCAAGTTATTGCGTCGTTTAACGAAGTCGTCGCCCGTCACCTTGACACACTTCGCGAGCGCGCGCGCGTGCAAATATGCGTGCTCGTATATTATGACGAAGCGCCGCCGCCGCCGCCGCCACTGTGACGGAGGAATCGGCGCGTTCGGATCGCGAGCGTTTCGCCGCCGTCTTGGCGGTGCCAGTTTATCTTTATTTGCCCTTTTCTCCGCCCCTCCCCCTCTACCCTCGAACGCGCGCGCGCCTCGTCCAGTCCCGCGCTCGAGATTTCCGTTCTGTGCACATCGCCGTTCTATTTATAATAATATGCACGACGCTACATCGGTACATTGTGCATGCCACGGCGGTGCAGAGGTATTCTTGCTGAGCCCGGCAAGACGTCTTCGGCGTCCCTCGCGGCTATATCGGTATACCCGCACAGCAACCCGCGTACCTACCGCGACGCCGCGTCGCGCCGCTTCGCGCGCTTACGTTATGCGCGCACCGTGAAGCCGAGCGCGCCGCCGTTCTTGTCCGTCGTCGCGCCGCTACCGCATATTGTGCGCGGGCGGTCGGAAGACGCGCGAAAACGCCGACTTTCCGGGCGCGGGCCCGTTCGGGCGCTCACGGAACGCAGAGTACAAAACTATTAGTGCGCAAAATGGCGAACACGTCCGGAGCGCCGGACAGACGGCGAGCATTTCGCGCAAAACGTTGCTCCCCGGTCGCTGAATTTCGGCGGTAGACAACGTGTACGCGTAGGCGCGTAGTCGATACGCGACCGTTAATAACAGAAAAGACCGCGGCGAACGGCCGTTCCGTTTTTCCGTAGTCTGTAGCGTCCGGGCGTCGCGTTTCCTATTTGCCGAAATCGCAGTACGGCGATCGCGCGATCAGACGAAAACCGATGGGCACCTCGCAAATGCTCGGTCAGCGGTAGGATATCTCTGTAGCCGGTCTCCGTCCGTCTACTTTTTTTGGTTTTCTCTTTTCGTATTTCGTCGTCGTCCCTTTATGCTCGTGGTGGCGGCGAGCGTTACGCGGTGACCGCCGCTGACCCAAACCGACGAACACAAACGAGAGCGTCGTCTCTTTCGATTCTTCATCGAACGAGCGGGCGAGGCGCGCGCGCGCGCGCGCGGGCCCCGCCCGGCTCGTGGTTCGTGCTGGAACGTTAGAGGACAGCCCGGGGAATCTATTCCCAAACGCAATATAATTACGCCTCGACAGCCGCGGCTGTCGCCGGCACAGAGGACCGCCGTAATATTATCACGACGAAAAGTAGGGACGCGATCTTGTGCTGTCCGGATGCCGGCGTGCGTGCGCGCGTCCTCTACTGGGACCACTACGGTGCACGCGGTGTCGATGCGCGCGCACCGTGTACATGGCATACAACGGCGGCATTATACGTCTAAACGTCTGGTCGACGCCGATGGTACGCGTATAACATTATGGTTGGGCGGCGGCGGCGGCGGCGTCAGCGGCTGTGGCGGCGGTGGTGGTGGTGGTGGTAGCCATGCAACCTTCGAAACGACTGCCGCCGCCGCGTGTACGGTTCAGTCTGTAGTGCGCCGGCCGACGGAACACAGCGGAGTTATACGACGTCGTCTGGCCAACGGGTACCCGCAGCAGCAGCAGCAGCAGCAGCAGCACCACCGTGTCGCCGCCGTCGTCGGCCAGCACCGCCAACAGAACCGCCGGAAACAAAACCGGCGCTCGGCGAAGAGTTTTCGCCACGGCGTGCCGCCCGTAGTGCAGCACCGCCGCCACGCGACTGTCGCGCGTTGTTCTTTTCGCGCGCCCGTTGACGACACCGTAACGATATTATAATAATATAACCATATTATATTATTATTATCACCATCGCCACAGAGGTAACTTTTTTTTTCTTTTTTCTTTTTTTTTTTTGCCCCGTTATCGCGCAAATTCGATATTCCTACATATGTATTCATATATATATATATATTATAGTATTTAAATAGCGTATAGTATTGTAGTGTATATATATATTATATCGGACTCTCGTCGACCACGGACCGTATTATTATTGTTATTGTTGTTGTTGTTGTTGTTGTTATCTTTGTTCCGGCGGTATTACCCGATACGCCGCGGAAAACGTGCTTGTATTTTCACACTTCTCTTTTTTTTTTTTTCATTTTTTTTTTTTTTTTGAAATCGATCGCCGGCGCGGCACACCACTCTTCGCGGCACCGTCGACACCGCGGTAACCGTTACCGCGGTGCCGCCACGGTGGATAATAACGAAACGGACAGGTCGCTCCTATAACAGTACAATTTATCGTAAGCGAGTCGATTTATCGCCCATCGTTATAATTATTTAGGGCCGTTCTCATCAACGTGAAAAAAAAAAAAAGGCGTTTGTCTGGTTCTTAAACTGGGCTTATGGCCGCTAACCGGGGGGGCCCGGGTTTGCGGCGGTTTTTAACAGTCCAAAGAGTGGCTGGATAAGCTACGAGCTACAAAGTTTTATTTTGCATATTTTTCAATGTGTACTGCGTATGTCCGTATTTTACGATTTTTCATTGCATATCAATTGGTTTTTATACGCATATGTTTTGCATATTTTGTCATTTGTCGATGTGTACAGCATATTTCTGTATTTTACGTTTTTTTCACTGCATTATTGCCGAACGCTTAAACGTTTCAAGCCCATCTGTTTCACCATTGTTCGTTGGTTTTACTCACGCGTACCTCTGGTTCGTAACGAACTTTGTTTACTTGTATTATATAATCACTTCTACAGTCATGATAACTCGGTCGGGATTAGTTGTTTTAATCATTTTGTTTTGCATATTTTGCATATTTTACATATTTTAATGGTGATCAGTGCATAAACGCATGCATGTTTCGTACGTTTTTTAGTGCATACAATGCCGGTACCCTACCGATAGCCGACCGCGATTGGTCGATTATCTCATAAACTCCGTTTAGAAATCGACGTTTACGTTGGCGATCACGGGCCGTTGACGGCTTTGCGAAGCTCTCGGGTAATCGCTGGCACCCGTCGGCACTCTTGAAACGCCGGCAGTGTTAGGGCGTAGCCTATCCCGTTTCTGGATTATCCGCGGCCGCTCGTCCCGAAATCCCCGGTGCCCGTTTGGGTCTCGCGCCGTTCGAAAAGGGACCCCCGGAGTGTGTGTGTGTGTGTGTGTGTGCGTAACGATCGTCCGTTAGGTGGCCTCGGCGACGCGCGCGCTACACGCCACCGGCCCGCCGTCGCCGAGTTCGTTATGAGCGACGCCGGCGAAACCCCGCGGTCGCCCGTTCGCCCACCGTCGACGCCCAGCAGCATACCCATGGCGCGCGCCAAAGTCGCAGGAATCGATAAACCCGACGCGGTGACGGGTCCGTCCGTAACGCGGCGGAAGACCGACGCGCGCAAAGACGTGGGAAGGCGTCGGGTTTTCGGCGCGGCGCGTTAGGAGTGCCGCGGCCGTCTCTCTCGTTTTCACCCCGCGGCGGTCTCCGGACCGTGGAGTTTGTTACGCGCGACGACGCGACACAATGACATCGGGGGGAGGCGGAAAGACGCCTCGGGGCGAAGTGCGAAAGAAAGCGAGAACTAAGGAAAAAAAAAAAATATATTAATTGATTGACCGCCCGTAGCACGCGCGTGTGACAATCGAACGGCGCACGAACCCGTTTTTTTCTCGCGTTTCGTTTACACTCCGTCTTTTACGCCGCGCTCGAATCGTCGGCTCTATATTAAGTGTACAGGACCGCGAGTAGTAATGTTATCGATCCGACGTACAGGAACGCGATTCACGAACGCCGGTCGGCAACGATAAAACAATACAAACAACCGTGTTCGACCGTTTTTTTATTCTCACTCTCTCTCCCTCGCGTGCCCATACACGGCAATTCGACGAAACGTACACAGTTTTCCCGCGCAAAAACGCCGCCGTGCAGCTCTCCGCGCCGGGGAATCGCCACCGCCGGCTTTCGGTTTGAACGCGAGATATTTTCGAACGTCCGCGGGCCGGCCGGCGGCGACGAACAGCGCGCCGCGAGTTGTACCAGAGACGTCCGTAGAAACCTCTCGCGTAGCGGACTCTGTGCTGCAGTATCAGCGCTCGCCGTTCGCCCGTGTACCGTCGCACCTCCGCCGCCGCCGTCACAACACTATGTTATTATTATTATTATTATTATTATTATTATTATTATTTCGTGTGTAACGACATCGCGCGTTTCCCGTGCCGATCGGCCGCGGTATTGTTGCCGCGCGCCGCGGCCCGTGCGCAATTAATATTGTTCGTAAATTACGCACACATTCTCGCCGTCGGCGTAATTATTATGCGGAGCCGACGACATACCTACCGCGCTTGTACCCGCGTTTGTGCGTCGCCCCGTCGCATTACGCGCGTGTCTCGCGCGCCCGGCGGCCGTCCGGTCGTTTTCGCGCGTCTCCTCGCGCGACACACTCTGTCGGCCGCGCGTTACGAAACTTGCGCAATAATTAATAACCGCCCGGCGGCCGGCCCGAACCCAGGTGCGCGTTCTCCTATGCGGTGGCCGCCCCCCCCCCTCCAAACGCGGCGGTTTTACTCCGCGCGCGTTCGCCGGTTTCCCGCGCAACGGCCGAAAGTTACGGCCGCAGCGTATCAAATGGACGACACGTATTAGGCATTCGTTCGAGCATTTGTTGTTGCCGTCCTACAAACGCGCGGTATAGTTAAAACATGCTTACGCAGACTACGCGTAACTCGCTTGATTTCGGTTTTACAGTAAAAACACGCCCGCGTCATAAAATCAAAAGAGAACGGTAATCCGGATGGCGGTTAGGTTGCGTTTTTTCCATTTTCTTTCGTTTACCGTTTGCGAACAACGTATTTTTGTAAATCGCTAAAACCGAGTAAAACTTTAGAAAAAGACTTTATCAAAAACGCCCAACGTCTCGCCCCATCTGGAATATCGTTCTCCGTTAGTTTCAAAGCATAAGTACTCTTACTCAAAAACCAAAATCAAGCGAGTTCTGCGTGTATAGTCCGCGTAAGCATGTTTTTACTATACCGCTTGCCGTGTTTGTAAGAATGTAACAACAAATGCACGTTTGCACGTCCTCTCGATCAAAGTTATACTCGTACGCATTCTTAGTGTACGTGTTTTTCGTCTTCGGTCGTGTTAAAAACGTCAACATCGTCGTTGGTAAAACAAAAACGTGTAATTTGATTCGGGCACGGTTTCATTACAAAATCTCACCGATTTCCGAAAAACGGAATATCTCGTAAAATATTGAAATTTTTTGGAATTTTTTATTTTCGCCACCGTTCTGTACTAAAACGTTAAATTGCCGTTATTTTCTGATGGGTGGGAGAAGGGGGAGGTGACAATTTTACCGCATCAAACGCGGCGCGGGTTCTGTTTTCAAACGGGAACCCGTTACGAAAAATGCCCGTGAGTAATTAATTTCCCGCAGGCGAGACATCGTTCGGATTTTAAGTCTCGGACAGCGGTGAGTAGCGGGGCCCCGCGAACGACTCATCGTCGTATTATCTCACCTACCCCCCCTCCCTCTTTCTCTATCCGCGGAGTTAAAAGCGAAAAATCTCGTAAACCGGACGACGGAAATCGAAAATGTCAACACCCAAACGCGTTTGAACTATAAACGAGCCACTGTCGTTACGCGCGCGCGAGTGACGGACAAAAAACTCGTTTTTAAAAAGAATGTTTACAGCGCGGTGCGGATAGTTATCGCCGGTAATTAAGATAAGTACCGAGAAGACGATACCGCGCAATATTGGAAAGTTGACGTTAACGCCGATAATCGTGTCGTTCGCTATTCGCGCGGTACGTGCGTCATTTTCCCCCTTCCGGTTCACATTATATTATTAGGAATTTGTCGTTCAAATAACGCGGCGACCGTTAAAAAATCGAAAATCCGTGGTCGTTTCACCTCGGAAAAAAAAATAAATAAAGGCGACAACAACCGACACCGGATAACGTGTTCTAATCGTGGTGGAGCTTTTCGGTTTCGAAACACTGTCGAAACGAGTTCGATAATAATACACTCCGAGTAATCGCGACGGTACCTATTCGTTCGCGGGACAGAAGCACAGAAGGGCGCGGCAAAACTTCTCTCGTTACGTTGTTATCGTAGGCATTTCAACGGCCGGAAACTAACTCTAATTGTCGATGGGGAAGTGGGTGGTGATAATGAACGTATTTTTCGTACGTTACGTACATTGGTTTGCGTCGATAGGTGTTCGGCGCAGGCATACGTTCGCGAAGAGCCAACGAGTGCGGGGGGGAGGGGGGGTGGGTGGGATGTGACGATCTACCCATCTCATACCCTCCGGCAATATTGCTCCGATTCGCAGTGATAGCACTTGTTCGGTATCGGACTGCGGAGGTACCTCTATAGGAAGGTCATTTTTCGATTTTCCCGGCAAATGAGAAAAACCGGAAGAAACCGGAAGAAAAACGGGAAAACGCATACGGAACCACGGCATTAGTATTGTAAAATATCGCCGCGATTTCATTCTCTCCGGTCAACGTTTTCAACCGGACTCCGCGCAGAATTGTCGTTTCGTTAGCGATACGACGGTTTGTCGTCGCGGATTAAATTACCCATGTATACCCGCGGCGGCCGCACCCGCCGCCGGTTTTTATTTTCCTCCGCAAACCACTAACCGAGGGGGCGGAGCGGGTAGGGACTACGAAAAAAAAAAAAAAACTGCCATCCGGTCGTTTCATATTGTAACACGCGGGACCGTGTGTAGATTATTACAACGTGTTCGCCACGTGTGCGGCGTGCACGTTCTTCAAACCGAACGCGTCCCGGCGGTTACCATAGTAATACACTAATAACAA